CGCCTCCGCCTCCTCCTCCTCTTCCTCCTCCTCTTCCTCTCCCCCTCCTCCCCCTCCTCCTCCTCCTCCTCCTCCTCCTCCTCCTCCTCCTCCTCCTCCTCGTCTCCGTCTCCGTCTCCTCCTCCGTCTCCTCCTCCGTCTCCTCCTCCGTCTCCTCCTCCTCCTCCTCCTCCTCCTCCTCCTCCTCCTCCTCCTCCTCCTCCTCCTCCTCCTCCTCCTCCTTCCTCCTCCTCCTCTGGGGACTGCCCGCGCGCGCAGGCGCGGCCCCTGCCCGCGGGGTGTGGGGGTGCCGCACGGGCGGCGGGGCACATCCGAGCGGGCAAAGACTGAAGGCGCCTCAGGACACACAAATAAATACACACAAATAAAAAGATCCCAAATATTTTCACATATTTTCTAGGTTTTTGCCTTCCCCCCCACTTCCCATATTTTCCCATAGTTTCTCCGAATCGACGAATCATTGTGTCTGTGTGTGTTTTCCCCTCCTGAAAGACGCGGCCCGTGTGCAGCCAACCCGTATCATCAGGATGCGCGCGATGAGGGTGCAAGGGCCTTGGAGGGCCACCTCGAAGCTTCTCGAGCGGGGCGCGGCCAAGGAAAGTGGCCGACGGATGGGCCGAGGGGGCAAGGATGCAAGGGCACCCTTGGGCAGGGTACCCAAGCCACCACCACCACCACCACCTCCTCCCTCCTCCCTCCTCCCTCCTCCCTCCTCCCTCCTCCCTTCTCCCTCCTCCCTCCTGGGGCCGAGGGGGCAAGGATGCAAGGGCACCCTTGGGCAGGGTACCCATCCTTACGACGCGGCTTCCCTGCAGAGGCCGCGGGCCCGGCACCCCCACGCGAGCGGCGCACACCTCTCCGCATCCGCGCCCTCGCGGGTCTGGACCCCAGGGCGCGATCCAACGGATCCGCGGTCGCACGGGCACGCTCCGCGCGGGAAGGGCACCCGCAGGCCCGCATGCCCGCGGGGTGGCCGCGGCACGGGGGCGCGGCCCGCGGGGCCAGTGGGCACTTTTTGCGCCGGCGGCGAGGCAGAGGGCGAGTGCTCTGGCGATGGATGGCATGCACAGGGGGTACCGTTGGGCCGAATTTGCGCCACCATGCAGGAGGGAGGAGGGAGGAGGGAGGAGGGACGCGGCCGAAGGAACAGGAGCACGGGGCGGGCGGCTCAGGGGTCAGAGCGCTCCCCCGAGCGTGTGGCGAAGGCAGTGGACACGGACGTGCCTGCCGCCCACGAATCACCTCCCCCAGGCCTGGCGCCTCCCACCTTCCCGCGGGGGCGAAAAGAGCGGCATATCCAAGGAGCCTTCCTTCTGCGATCGGGGACGCCTGCCCCAGGGCGGCCAGTACGTTCATGACCCGACGGTGGCAGATGGGGGTGTATATCTATATATAGGGTGTGTGTATATATATGTGTGTGGTGGACGCACAAAGACATACCAGTGCTGCGTCCTCCTTGAAGGCGCGCGCGTCCGATCCAAACACATAGTATACCCATCTTGCAGTAGAGCGTTTCCCGAGCGGTGTGGCCAAAAAGCGCCCGCCACGAATCGTATACTTAAGATTGTTCGGGGCGCGCGTCGCCACTTGGGGGTGGCGAGGCACACATAGTATCAGTATGTTGGGGTGACGCCGACCACTGTGCGAGAAGCAGAACGCGAAGCTGGAGCCCGAGCTGGTCAACGACAGCGATGGGCATACGGCGTGGGCGAGAGCGGCGCGCGGCGGCAGCAGGCGCCATCACTGCTCCAAGATCTCTCGGTGCGCGCGTCGCCCCAGGGGGTGAGACGCACACACAGTATAAGCATGTTTGGGGGGACGTCGAGGGGAAACTGCCCTGCCCCCTTGGACAAGCGTCCCCGATCGCGGCACAGACGGCATACCGTCCTTGACCCGCTAACTTCTGGGACATTTCCCCTGGCGCCTGGAGGGAGACTCTGTGATCGGCGATGGTATGCTGCTGTGCGGCTGTCCTGTCCTGGCTTCATCGGCCATTGACTTCCCCATGGAGCCGAGGGCGGCCGAGGCCGAAGCCAAGAGGCACCGACGCCACCACTCCCCGGACCTCTCCCGGGGCGACGAGGGCCTCCCGGGAGGCCCAGCAGGGGCGAAAGCGAGGGAAGGGTACAGCCATCGTGCTGCTCGGGGATGGACAGACCCCCCTTTAGTAAAACGTGGTTTAGTGAAAACGACCTGAGGCCCAAACCTGGCGGGCGCAAGCCTGGAAAATAACGACCACGGCGCCCTCTCGAGAGCCGAAAACGGACGATTCACTAATCGACGTGTCACTGTTGGGGGTTCTGTCCACCCCCGAGCTGCCCTAAAAAACGCTGGATGGGGCACGAAGGGGGCCGCCTTTCCTGGCCGCACGGCGCCTATCGGCCCCGGAGGGGCCCGCCGACCTGGATCCGGGGGCACGGCCCGAGAGCCGGAGCCCCTGCCGAGCCCGAAGTGGTCCTGCTTCCAGCGTCTCGACGACGACATCGACGACGACGACGGCGACGACGACGGCGACGGCGACGGCGACGGAGACAGAGACGACGACAAGACGACGACGACGACGACGACGACGACGGCGACGACGACGACGACGACGACGACGACGGCGGCGACGACGCCGACGAGGACGACGCCGACGAGGACGACAACAGCGACGACGGCGACGACGACGCCAACGACGAGGACGACGGCGACGGAGACGACGGGCACAACGCCCTCGGGGGTAGTTTGGGGACCGTGGCTTCCTCAGAAATCTGTTGATGGTGAACCCCTCTGGCGCACGCACCTCTGGCATGGGTGCCACGAGGCAGCCAGGGAGTGCCGGTAAAGGGAAACATTTACTGAACACTCCCCCCCCCCACTCAATGTTAGCACGCGCGGAAAACACTGCGGTCGAAGTGAATCTCATCAGACCCACCGCCAACTTTGAACATTGGGGGAATGGGGGAGGCGTTGACAGATGAATTTGGCATGAGTGTTCGCTAATTTGTTCCGAGGCCTGGCTCACCGTGCCCGCTCGCGGTGCACCTGGCCGCACAAGGAAGTCTGGGGGAGTACGCCTTCAAGAGCACGGGGGGGGCCTCCCATTGAAACTTCTGGCGCAGCACCAGCTGGGAAATATGACAAAACCAAAGAGAGAGTGAGAGATAGAGAGAGAGAGAAAGAAAGAAAGAGATAGAAAGAGAGAGAGAGAGAGAGATGAAGAGAGAGAGAGAGAGAGAGAAAACCAACAAATAAAGAAAGAAAGAGAGACAGAGAGGTGGAGAACGAGAGAGAGAGAGAGACAGAGGCAGAGAGTGGCAAGGAACGCGCGCACGCATCCCTCCCCCCTTCCCCTCAACAGTGTTGTGGAGGGTGGGAAGCTCCTGTGCGCGCTCGCGCTGCTCGTGTCCCCGCCCCCCCCCACCCCCGCGCACCTGCCTCGGCTGCGCCCGACATTCAGCTCCCTCTTCGCTTCCACCCCCGCGCCGCCCCCTTATAAGGCGGAAGGTGTGCATGCGTCGCATCCCAGCGGGCACTTCGCTGTGCGATGAAAAATGGCGGGGTCCAGAGAGAGGCGGCTATTTTTGACCTGAGACCGACGTATACCACAGCTTGACGTGCAACGGTGCCAAGTGCGGGCAGGCGGGACTAGTGCCCCAACTGCCAAAACGTGTGAGCGTCTTCCGCTCCCAACGCGGCCAATCGCCACGCCCGGAGAGATTGGCAGTGTCAGAAGAGGGGAAGGAAGGGGAGGAGGGGGAGAGGGAGGAGGAGGAGGAGGAGGAGGAGGAGGAGGAGGAGGCGGAAGAGAAGGAGAGGAGTATCCAGGGGGGCGTGAGTCACTTCGGGGCACTAGCGGGGGCAGCGGAAGGACGAGGAGAAGGAGGAGGAGGCGGAGGAGGAGGAGAAGGAAAGACGAGGAGAACGCGGAGGAGGAGGAGGAGGAGGAGGAGGAGGAGGAGGAGGAGGAGAGGAGGAGGAGGAGGAGGAGGAGGAGGGAGGAGGAAAGAGCGAACGTCGCCGAAGGAGGAGGAAAGAGGAGGAGGAAAGAGGAGGAGGAGGAGGAAAGAGGAGGAGGAGGAGGAGGAGGAGGAGGAGGAGGAGGAGGAGGAGGAGGAGGAGGAGCAGAGGAGGAGAGAGGAGGCAGCGGCAATGCCAGGGGAGGGGCAGGGGGTGGCAAGGGGGGCGAGGGAGGCGTGGGCGGGGAGCCGGGCAAAAGGAGGTCGTGAGCGCGGGCCGCGGGGGGCAGAGCGGCACAGGGCCGGAGCGGCGCGGGACGGGAGCGGAGCCCGGGCAGGAGGGAAATCGCGGCAGGACCCACGCGCAGCAGGACTCCCGTTCGATCCTCGATCCTCGATCCTCGATCCCCGCTCCTGGCTCCTCGATCCTCCTCCTCGATCCTCGGTCCTCCGTCCTCCTCCTCCTCGATCCTCGATCCAGGCTCCTGGATCCTGTCCTGAATCCTGGATCCTCGACGGTCGAGCGGGGGCCGCTGGGTTGCGGTGTCCTCACCGACGAAGACCTTGTTGACCGACTGCACGAGCGCGCTGCCCAAGCCGCTCTCCGACCTGAAGCGCAGCACCCGCCACTCCTGCGGTGTCAGGGCCGCGTACAGGCGAGGCCGATCGACCATCCGGAAAGTCCAGAGAAATTTAACAATGCCTACCACGGTCAGGAACTTTTGCTGAGCCTGTCACGGCGACAGCCTCGGCGACACGCTATTCCTTGCAACTTGCTTGATGGGCGTGTTTTCCACCACCACCACCACCAGAAGTTGGAGGGGGGAAGAAGGTGGAGGACGAGGAGGAGGAGGAGGAGGAGGAGGAGGAGGAGGAGGACGAGGAGGAGGAGGAGGTGGAGGAGGAGGACGAGGAGGAGGAGGAGGAGGAGGAGCCCTCCCCTCCAACTCATGGTGGTGGTGGTGGAAAACAGGCCCATCATTGCTAGCGTGTTGCTCCGCTCCACAGGGCGGGAGGCCGGGAAAGGCTCGGAGCGCTGATGCCCGGGGACCAGGAAGTGGTCCGCGTGTCGCGCCGAAGCAGACTGGGCCAGAGCCAGCGGCGCGACATGCTGCGCCGAAATTCCCGACCGTACCCCCACCCCCCCCGCGAGTGTAATTCGTCACTGCTTGTCCTCATCTTACCTCTCCGCCTTCCGCCGCTGCCTCCAGTGACGGGGCCGACCCAGGCACCCCCCGATGTGATCTGGTCAACCCGCGGCCCAAGAGGTGCGAACCCCTCCCCAGGGTGCAGTTCGTTGCCCCGGATCCGTGGCTGGTGGCCCCATTGCCCGACAACGGGCCCCAGAACCCGAGACCGGCCAATGGGAAAAACGCCAGGACTGACACCTGGGCCCTCGTCCGCACCTGGAGCGCACGGCCGAGCGGGCCTTGCGGCAGCGCGCGGCACAGACGGCCGCGGGGGTGGCAGAGGCGTCCTGGGAACGCCCGGGCGGCGCGTCGTCCTGTAGGGCGACGAGATGGGCACATGTCCAACGCCCCTGGCCAGGCCCAACCTGGGCCCAGGAGCGGTGTGTATGCCCCCTTGGCTGGGCATGGGAGGTACAATTCCAAACTATTTGAAACAATTATGAGCCAGCGTGGACCCCAAACAGTTTGTGCCTAGCCAAATGTATATAATTATAACATTATGTATAGCTTCATTTGAATATGTACATATGTTGTGAAACCTATGCGGGGCAATCTATGGAATGCAGTAAGGGTGGTGCAAGATACGATGTGCAATCGATGATGTGCAATATGTGTGGCCCCGTAGTTGTGCAGCATATGCGGTGCAATCGATGTAGTGCCGTATAGGTGGTGCCACATATGAGTTGCAATCTACGTGGTGCAATTAATGGTGTGCAAACTATGTTGTCCCATATGTGTTGTGCAACCTGTGCGGTGCGATACGTCGAGTGCAATCTGCGTGGTGATATACGCTGCGCAATGTATTTGGAGCCGAATACCTCGTGCAGCATATGTGGTGCAAGATCTTGTGTGCAATGTATACATATATAGTGCAGTTGGCGTTATGCAGTATATGTGATGTGGCACACGTGGTGCAATCTACGTGGTGACATCTATGGTGTGCGACCGTTGTGGAGCTATCTATGTTGTGCAATCTATGCAGTGCACTATGTGCGGTGCGATCTACGTGGACAGATAAATGTGGTGCAAGCCTTGTTGCTGTGGGTGTTGCGATCGGCGGGCTCCGCGGCGCCCTGAGCCAGGCGGTCGCGGCCAATTGTGCCGAACTGCATGGCGCCGGGGAACAGAAGGATTGCGGTAAATACTACCATTGCCTCTTCCTGGCTTGAGTGTGCACTGCGGCTGGCGTCAGGGACGACTGGGAGAGGGTTGTCCAGAGCACCGAGACAGACCTCCGGGTGCACATAGAGGCAAGGGCGGCGGAGGAGCGCAGGGGGAAGAGGAGGAGGGGGAGGAGGGGGAGGAGGGGGAGGAGAAGGAGGAGGAGGAGGAAGGAGGAGGAGGAGGAACACAAGGTTGCCCCAGAGCACCGAGGCCGACCTCCGAGTGCACACAGAGGCAAGGCGGCGCCAGAACGACGACGCGGAGAGGAGGGCGGTGCCCCTCCGCGAGACCGGGCGCGGGTAAGCTGTTTTAGAACATCAGTGTTGCGAAAACATGTGTTTTTGTATGTTTCTTGGACACACGATTTTGAACTCCTTCCGAAACGGGAAGTTGTTTTGAAGATTTCGGCATGCGCGCGCGACGACGCGCGAGTGTGCACTTCGTCACATTTGTTGCAAGGGATTATTGGAAACTTATGAGATCTGGTAACAAAGAATGCGCGCAGATTGGAGAAAGGATGGCGAGGGGGAGTGATACCAGCGTGGCTGGGATAATATGAGTTCAAATTTAGGATGGACGATGGGGCAGAGTCATTGCAATGCGAAAAGGAGAACCATTAACTCCGGGGAGTAAAATCTTTTCTTCTTTTTGAACGGAGAATCGATGAGGTGCAATCTACGTAGTGCACTCTATCACTTGCTCAATTTGAAGCTGTCCTCTCCACTGCTCATGCAAACATCCCACCCTCCAACCCGCAACTTGGTCGCATGACCTCTTAAGACCGTGACGATGGGTACCAAATGGCACTTGGCAACGACACCGACGCCGACGGCGACAGCGACAACGACGACGCCGACGCCGCCGACAACGACTACGACGACACCGACGACGTCTCCAACGACTTCGACGACGATGACAACGACGACGACGACGACACCGACGACGACGACAACGACGCCGACGACGACGATGACAACGACGACGACGACGCCGACAACGACGCAGACCACGCCGACGACGACGACGACGACGACGACGACGTCGCCAACGAAGACGACGACGACGACGACGAGGGAGGAGGGAGGACGACGACGGCGGCAACGACGACACGACGAGGGAGAAAGGAGGACGGCGACGACGCGAACGACGAAGAAGGAAGGAGGTCGGCGACGCCGACGACGACAACGACGAGGGAGGAGGGAAGACGACGACGACGACGACGACGACGACGACGACGACGACGACGACGGCGACGAAATAGGAGGAATGACGACGACGACGCAAGAGTGCGCGCGCACGCTGTTGTTGAAAATCCGTGTTGCGAAACCTTGTGTTGTTGTATGTTGTTTTGAAGCTCGATTTTGGAATCCTTCCGAAACCGAAGGTTTTTGAAGGATTTCGGCATGCGCGCGCGGCGACGCGCGCGTGCCCACCTCGTCCTACTTTTGCGGAGGATTCTCGCGACGGCACGCGCGCAAGGGCGTTCGAAAGATTTCGACATGCGCGCGCGCGAAGCCCGTCTGGTGGCATTTCTTGAACATATTGAAAAAACTATGGTTTCCTTAAGATTTCGCAAGAGCGCGCGCGTAAGCTTTTGTAACAAATCAGTGGTGCGAAACCCTCTGTGTTTGTATGCTTTTGTGGGAACTCGTTTTCGACCTCCTTCCGAAACGGGAAGTTGTTTGAAGATTTCGGCTTGCGCGCGCGACGACGCGCGCGTGTGCTCTTCGTCACATTTGTTGCAAGGGATTCTTGAAAACTTCTGATTTTTGATAACGAGTGCGCGCGCACAGTATTCTTTGCAAAGGATAACGGGGGGGAGTGATACCGGCCTGGCTGGGATAGTATGATTTCATATTTCGGATGGACGAGTGTGCAGACTAAATATGAAATCGCAATACCCCAGGGGGGACCCTCAACTCTGGGAGGGGGTCGAGTCGATTCTTCTTTTAGAAAGGAGAATCGACGTGGTGCAATCTATGTAGTTCATTTTGCTGTGCACAGGGGTGGCGGCGGCAGCGAGACGGGGGAGCGACGGCGACAGCATAGCCGCCAGGGCGCCACACCGCTCACGACGACGGGCGGCGACGAGGCGGCGACGGGGCTGCGACGGCGACAACATAGCCGCGAGTCCGCCACACCGGTCCAGACGACGGGCGGCGGCGAGGCGGCGACGGGGCGGCGACAGCGACAACATAGCCGCCAGAGCGCCACACCGGCCAAAATCCTTAGAACCGAAATAAGAATCCCTAAGTGCAAGCATTGATTGGGGAACAGCAGTCGGGCAGGGTCGAGTAAACAAATTGTTGGTTCTCGCCTCGATTGCTGGCGGCGGCCCGGCGGCCTCGACGGCGACGACGACGACGACGAGCCGAAAACAAAACATCTCGTTTGATCGTCCATTTCCTGGTGAGGCGTTGCGACCCCCCAGACATTCTTAGCTTGGTCGCTCATGCAAATGCGATGTGCGCCGCTCCTGGGACCAGGATGGACCTGGCCTGGGGCAACGGATGTGTACAATTATGTTGCATCCTCGGGAGACCTTGTCTGTCCCGTCGCGGCCCTATCTGCTTCGAATCCGTGTCGAACCCATGTCGTTCTCTCACCGGATCCGTGTCGAACCCGTGTCGAATCCGCGTCGACTACACGCCAAATCCGCGTCGAGGCCGCATCGAGCCTGCGTCGGACGCAAGGAAAGACGCCAATGTTCTGGACAGGCCAAGTCACCCGGAGATGCAACGCAAATACAGATCTCGTCGGCCTAGTCCTGGGAGGCGACGTGCCGGGTGACCCGCAGGGTGCCCCCGCCGTCCAGCGGTAGGTCGAGGATGCAGCTGCCGCCTCGGGTGGGGCGCCGACCTCCTCTCGCAGCAAGGAGGACTAATGAGACGGAAAAATCACGACGACGACGACGACGACGACGACGGCGACGGCGGCGCCGACATCGACGACGATCAAGACGACCAACACGATGACAGCTGGGGCGGCGGACGCGAAGAGAAACGACAACGAAGACGACGACGACGAGGAGACGTCGACGACGGCCAAGACGACGAACACGATGGCCATCTTGGACGGCGGCCCCCACCAGCCTCCGGGCCCCGCAAAGAACGACTCAGGATGGGCAACTGGCCCCTGGGGAAAAGGTCAATTTTTGATCATGCTTTCTGATGCCATACCCCACCCTGCTACACCCTGCGAAATGCTTAAGAAATCATGGGTTAAGAAATTCATAGTCTCAGAACTTGGATAAAAACCCAACATTTCCATTCAAATCTTAGGATTTACATTGAAACATTAAGAATAATCGAGATTCTGGCCGAAAACTTGGGTTTGCTTAAGCATCGCCTAAGGTGTACGGTGTAGCCCCATACGACAAGCCACAGGGCATGTGCAATTGCGCGCCTGCCAAAACACGACGTCGGCGACATGGTTTCCGGCAGTGGCATCGCACGACAACCAGCGGCACGCGCCCTCACGAGAACCCGCCGCCTGTCGCGACGACTCCCACGTCGCCACTAGGAGAGAGTGGTGCGCGCGCGCGCGGCTACAAACCGAACGCGGCGCCCCACTGGCCGTACGAAAGCGCATGGGGAATCGCCCCCAAGTTTGGTGTTCTGGGCGGCTGCTCCGGGCAGCCCTCCAAACTGGCGCCGGCAGTGCAATTGTTCGGTACACGGGTGATTGTTTCACGGGAGCACGAGATAGCCAGGAGGAGGGCCCCGACGGAAAGGGAACGCGGGGCTGGTTGAAACGCGAAGGGAGGGAGGGGGCGGCGTGAGGAGGCTTCTGGGGGGAGGAGCCCTGCCCCCGATTGAATGAAGCCCCCAACCACCTAAGCCGATTTGGACAACATTTTCGTGATCGGGTTTGTGGGCTGCCCCGGAACCGCGGCCGAGAACCCGGGCACTACGCCAGGCCAAGGCCGCGCGAAGCGGGGCGATTAGCACGTTGCGAACACAATGGGACCCGCGCGTCTTAGAGTCCCCTGCGCCCCCCCCACACACGCGGGTGCAAGGTCTTGCGACTCTAAAGCCATGATCCTTCGAATTCTTGCCCAGGTCTGCTTCGGGAAGCTCCCTGGATTACTCGTGCCCAAAAGAAACGCGCGAATGACTCAGAAGGTGCCCTGGGAGCTCTTCAAGGACTAACAAGAAGCCCGAAAGGGCCAGAATGGATTCTGGACAACCCTCCGAGAGCCCCGGGGCTAGCCCAATGGGAACCCTGCGATTCCGACTCGGCAGCCACGAAACCCTCGAGATCCTTAACAACGCCACAAAGAGGGCCCCGAGATGGCCGGAAGAAGGCCCCAGAAACGCCCGGGAAGAAAACGGAAACGAGGAACGGGAGGGGAACGGGGGCGAGGAGGACGGAGACCCCGATGCCCAGATCAGCGGGGACTGGCGGCGCTAACTAAAGGCATCCGTGGTAGATTCGCATGGCTGGGGGGCGGACAAACCGCGCCCCCCGTCCTCCTCATCATCATCCTCCCCCTCCTCTCCCTCCGCCAACCGTTCCAAATATTCCTCCGCCTCCCACTCCTCACCCTGTCTTTCCACATCGCCCCCATTATTCCTCCTTCCACTAACATGCTCTTTTTCTGTCCCTCCAGACGACGCCACCGCCGCAGCGTTTCCTGCCTGACACGTGCGGGCGGCAGCGCCGCGTATCAGTCCTGGCACGGCACGAATTTCAGTCCTGACACGAGCCCGTTTCAATCCTGACACGGGAACACATTCAGTCCTGACACGGAAGTCGTTTCAGTGTTGCCACCGTCCCAGAATGCTTCCAGAACGCAGCACAAGCAACCATCTGCACCCTGACACGCGACCGATTTCAGCCCCGACACGGGAGCCGCTTCAGTCCGGACACGGGACCAATTTCAGTCCTGACACGCCAGCGTTTCAGGCCTGACACGCGGTGGGCCGACGAGCGATTCTCAGTCCTGGCACAGCCCATCGCTAGTCCTTCCCGCCACTGCGACCGACTCCCGTGACTCACCTCCGCGACCGCGCCCGCGACCCGTGACCGCCACCTCCGCCCACGACCCGCGCGCACGACGCGTTTCCGTGACCCTGCACCAACTACTTGTTGGATTTGCTCACGGCCGTTCTGGGGGGGGGGGGGGGGCACGAGGCTCCGTGCCCCATGGGCACCACGGCGCTGCACGCTTGCACGCTCTGGGAAACCACGCGACTCCTGTCCGAGCTCAATGACGCGATCTTGGCGCCCTCCTGGCCCGCCACGCCCTTGCGAATGCCTGCCAGGCATATGCCACGCTCGCGCATGCGGGGGGTATCACTGCGAAGCAGGTCGCCCGCGCGTTGTCCAGTGAGGCTCCACGACTCCAGGGGCGGCGGCTCCTCGCCCGCCGCCGACAGGATGCGCTCCTCCACCACGCGCGCACTCTGCGGCACGATCTGCGGGACGCGCGCGCAGTTCCAGCCGCTCTCCTCTGCCTGGCGCCGCGCGAGGGCGGCGAGGGACACTTTGCCCCTCGATGTCCGACGAGATGGGCGCTGTGGGCGTGCGCCCTTGTAGGAAGACGGCGCGCAGTGGATCGAGCAGCTCCTTGCCCCTGCATTCGTCGAGCACGTCTCTGTGGCCTGAGCCCACGCCGAACAGTTGAAGCCGAGCAGCTGGAGGCCCGGATTGCGGGTGCCGCCGCGCCTGGTGCCCGTCTGGACGGACACTCTGCCCGGCAGCGTCCGGGCGGGCGGGCGGGCCGGGCGCCGCCGCCACGCGAGCCGAGCAGGGCCGCGACGCCGCCGTCCACACGCGGCGCCAGAGGCCGCCCTCTTTGCCGCGAGCGCGGGGACGCCAGGCTCCCGACGTGGTCCCGGAGGAGGCGCGGCAGGAGGGCGCCCTCGCAGGCGCGCCCAAAAATCCATCCGCGGGGAAGCGGTGCGACCCGCATCGGCGCTGCGACCTCGGCGCGGCGCAGGCCCTGAAGGTGCTCGGGGGCCCTCCGCCGCCGGACCAGGGAGGCCAGCAGCACGGGGGACGGCGCAAAGCGAGCGGCTGGGTCCTGTCTGGGTCTCTGCCTCGCAGAAGGCCCCGTGCGGGGAACAGATTTGCGAATGGCTCCCACCCCGCGCGTGGCGACGCCCGTGCCCCAGGATTCCCAATGATGCTCCAGGGAAGCGAAGAAGAGGGCCGGGTGGACAAGCAGGGGCGAAACCCGCGGATGCTTGTCACGCACACCTACCATGGACTGGCACGAAGGAGACAGCAGATCTGTGGCACTCTGGCAAGGTGGCTGTTGATGGCGAGGTGGCGGCATGCGACCGCAACCACTGGGGCCTCTGCTGGGCCCTGGGGTCCCCGACATCTCCTCCTCCTCCTCCTCCTCCTCCTCCTCCTCCTCCTCCTCCTCCTCCTTGTTCGGGCCCAGGAGAGGCCCAAGACGGGCCAGGAGGACCCCAATCTGCACCCAAGACGGTCCAAGCGAGCCCCGAGTCGCCGAACGATCGCACGAAGACGCCCAAGATGGTCCCAAGACGGCCCCAGAGGCCTCCAAGACGCCTCCACAGAGCCCCAAGAGCCTTCCCATGAGGGCCCCGAGAAGCCAAAATCATTGATTTACCATCGGTGCTTCAATTATTTCGGGGTCCTCGACTTTTCGAGCTCCCGACGGTCCAAGACAGCCCCAGAGGCGCCCAAGACGGCACAAGGGGGCCCAAGACAGACCCAAGAAGGCCCCAAGAGGGGGAACACGAATAGAAAATCCGAGTCCTCCGCCCCAAAAGGCCCCCAGGAGGCCCCAAGTAGCCCCCAGGAGGCCGTAGAAGACCCCCAAGAGGCGCCGCAGAAAGCCCCAAACAACGAATGCAATACAATTGCGCTTGCAGGTAAGACCGGCAACCCTCGCGCCACCTACTTGCCGCGGGGAAGGAGAAGGGAAGGGGTCTGGGCAAGGATCGCATGACTTGACATGTTTTAAGTGGCATGAGGGCTGAAGGATGGCGCCGCTCTCCAGGCCCTAAACCAAGCTTCGTCCCATGATGTTCCCCTCTCTCGTGGCCGCAGAATGCTGCAAAGAAAATGGACGAATGGTTATCGGCCTAAACTTGCGCGTAATAGTTACACAAGCGGGCCACACCCGCAATCTGACCAATGAAATACGCCTTCTGCCCTCAATATAAACCGTAGCAAGTCAGCACATGATGCGGCAACACATGGCACAGCCTGGAATTACAAGTCATTGCAAACCGCCGCGTAGCACAAATTAACTCAGTATCACATGAAGTAGATGGCAGAGCACAGCAGGAACATAACATTGAATAGCACAACGCAGCCTCGCACACGTTGCATACCGTTGCACCACATGGCATGGCGTCAAATCCAGATCGCATAGAGTCGCACCGGTGAAGATAAACTAAATCCAATACATTGCAAATCGTAGCGCAACCATGAGCTAACAGCGCGTTATATCGCATGGGGCAACACATCATGCCGTTGCATCGTTTCGCGTACCATCGTGCGCCACTGCGAAGCATGTAACAGCATATGAGCGTACTAGCGCATACCATAGCACACCGAAAAATACAGTAATGTAACGCACCTGTGTGCAGCATAGCGTGAAACGGCATGGTACCGTAGTACTCGCATTGCAGGAGCAGCTGATAGCGCTTCCCTGCATTGCATCAGCACTTCATGGCGTAGCAACGTATAGTATGTGCCATGCAGCCTGGCACATCACGGCGTCATGGGCGATGCATAGCGTGGCGTAGCGTATCGTCGCAAGGCACGGCACAGAGTGCACTGCACACAAAGCAGTACACTCTGTAGATAATTAAAGCAATCAAACCCAAACACAACAATAGCACACGACGGGACAT